ACTCTTTTAGCCTAAATTCATTCGTGATATGTTGTGATCCAACTATGTATGTGTGTACCAACTACTGATCCAGGGATTGGTACGGATAAACACAGAAGATTTCCGATTTCCAAAATCGGGGGTCTACACTAGTGTATCCTGGGACTGGTACTATATCACAGGTAATGCATAACACCCTGGTGTGATTTAGCTGTGTTAAAGGCTAATGAATGTCGGGGCGTTACAGCAACGGATAGGCCGTAGAGAAGTATATTGGCAGCTTTTAACATGACTTCTAAAAATAAAAAAAATGAAACCCAATGAGATAATAAACTCAAAAACTATAAGATCCAATTTTTAAAGGTTACAAGGAGAATGAACATAAGCCATGGTAGATCGAGAAAACAAATAAAGAAAGGGTGAAAAAAAAAGTAAAGGGTAGCAATTGATGTGACTTTTATAAAAGTTATAAAATTAGAAACATGGGATGATATGGTTTGGTCTTTCAAAATCTTAAGACAATGAGATATCTATTGAATAAATTATAAGTAAAATCATATTAAAAATAGATAATTTTGTATGGGTGCTAACCGCGCAATTGCACGGGCCACCCAGCTAGTTTTTTATAAATATCCCGATCCTCTGCGTCGGCCTCCCTTTGCCCCATAGCTGATCTTTAGGATTTTTGCCGTAGCTGATCCTTGCACACGCATGAAGGTATTTAATTCATTTTCTCGGTAGGCATTACCATGGACAATATGCATTGGAGAAGATTACGTCTAAATGGGTATTTGTTGCCCTCTCTCTTCTCTATACACTACCTATGGATATTCTGGGTTGGGACTGTCTAAAACAAATTAGTAGTAAGGAGAAATTACGTACTGTAGTGCACCTTAGTAATACTCTTGATTGTATTTTCTAGGCTCCAAATAAATACGTATGTCTTAACTCCGTTGACCATAAGATGAAACAAAAATTTTGTGGGCCAAATTTTGAACGATATTTTTTTGTGGAAACAAGTGGACCAAGACTTAACTCTGTTCACGCCTTCACGGGACTGTTAATTTGGAGTTTTGGACTAAGAAATATCCACATGTTTGGACTCTGCGGTTGCCCTCGGACAGAAGAGACATCAACAGTTCAATTCATTAGAAAGTGATCCATTTTTCTCCTAACATCAGAAAGGCGATTCAACGCACCCCGGAAGTTCAGTCGACGTATGCATGCGGGCATATGCCGGCACAGCCTGTGGAAAATTGCACACGAGCTAGAGAACAACCCTCGACCGACATCATTCGCATTTCGTGCATTATAATAATATATTTTTTCGAACGACTCGCACGAGACGGTGCGAAGTTCTATTGATAGAGCAGGAAAAAATTACAAGATTATAACCCTGGAGGGTCATAACCAGTAAAAGGAAAAAGAAAAAATATACCACCCCCCACACACCGACAGTGCCAACACACACGACCAGGAGGAGGCTAGCACCGGACCGGCCGCCGCTAAACCAACAAAGGAACACAGACGAGATCGCCCTACAGCTAGGGGGTGCCAAAACGACGTCTTCAAGAAGAGAAGCGACGGAAAAACCGCCGCCGCCGTCCATCCGGGCTCAAAGGAGCCAGGACTGGGCTTTCGCCCGGCAACCACCCTTGAGGGGTGAGACAGCACGACAACGCCCTCAGGAGGGGGAATTAACCATCGTTGTCGGCCCGGCATGGCCGGACTGGGTTTTCACCCGCCGCACACCACCTGCGAATCCACGGCTAACGCACCGATGCTCCACCACCACACAACCTCTACCGACATGTGGGACCCCCGCACCGGCGCCCCCCGCCGGCCAGCCTTCGAGCGCCGAAAATCGTGCCACGCCCACCGGCATCTCCTCCTCGCACCAGGGTCGCCTCTTCCTCTGCCGGCCGCGCATCTCGCGCCGAACCGGCCTCCTCCACCGGACGCGCCTCTCGCGCCAATCCGGCCTCCCTCCCTCGGCCGCGCCTCTCGCGCCAAGCCGGCCTCCATCTCCGCCGCCCGCGCCTCTCGCGCCGAGCCGGCCTCCGCTGCCATCGGCTGCGCCTCTCTGCGCCAAACCGATCTCCGACCCCTCCTCCGTACTCTCCCGCGCCGGCTAGATGCAGCCGTCGGCCACGTCCTCGGCTAGCCGACCGAGGCCACCATGCCACCTCCCACCACCACCAGGGCCGCTGCTGCCGACGGCCACCTCGCCGCCAGCCAGCCGCAGCCCCATCGACGTCGTCCAGCCGCTACCGCAACCGTCGCCACGAGTTCCGCGTCGCTGCCTCCGTCGCGAGAGCCCCAATGCCACAGCAGCCAACAACCGCCAATGCCGTCGACCAGCCACCGTGCTGTCGCCGCCGACAAGCCGCTGCTGCCACCATCGCCATGGAATCCGCGCCGTTTCCACCGCCGCCGTCGCCCCGTGGTCCCGTGCTGTTGCCGCCGCCGACGTCGCCCGCGAGCTCCGCGGTGCCGCCACCGCCACGAGCTTGCCCCGCGTCGCCATCCTCGCCGGCCTCCGGGCACTCACACGCGCCCGACCGCGTCGCCCGCGACCTCAGCTGCACCGCCACCGCCTCTTCCCCGCCGCCAGCATGCCTGCTTCCCCGCCGCCCGCCGTCGCCCGGCGTCAGCCCCGCCAGATCCGGCCAAAACGGCGCGGATTTGGGCGGGGGTTTCCGCCGCCGCCGGCCCGGTACGCCGCCACCACGCACCGCCAGTCGCCACCGCCACCACTCCGCCCCGCCACCAAGCGCCACCCCGCCGGATCCGGCCGGGCGGGTGCGGATCCGGACGGTTTGCCACCGTCGCCGCCCGGACAGCTCCCCGGGCCGCCGAGCGCGCGCTGAGGCGAAGCCCCGCCGCCACCATCCCCGCGGCCGCGCGGCTTTGCCAGCGCCCGCTCAGGCGGCGGCGAGGCAGAGAAGGAGGGGGGAGGAGGAAGACGACGGCGGCGGCGTCGCCTCTCGTGTCGCCCGTGGGGAGGGCGACGCGAGAGCTGGTCGTGACCAGGAAACCTCCATTATAATAATATAAAGCGGTAAATTGAACAATACCATGAGTTACGACACCATCGTATATGTATGAGCCTTCCGAACATTATAGAATGGAATAAATACTAGAATCCTATAACACCAAGCATATAAACACTACCATTACCGTTTCATCGGTTGCCAATATTCTCTAATAAATCTTTTTAACTTGTTATTAGAAAATAAAAATAAATTTAGAGGTAAAACTTTTATATATGATTTTAATGACTTAAAAGTCAATACTGAGAAATAAACTACGTTGAAAATATCTTCAAATCAATTTTAAAATTTGTTTTAGATTATTAGAGCAACCAGTGGCTCTTAATCCTCATTTATGAGAAACAAGAATGGCTGTAGAGAGCACGGCTAGCATTCCAAGTCGCATGGGGGACGATGGGAAGTTGGTCATGGGACCCCTGCCGGCTTAGGCCCCAGGCCGTCACACAGCCCGCCTAGATTCAGAGCCAACCCTTGTAGTTTATATAAATAAATCCAATTTTGCTATATATTTATCGATAAATTTTCTCCTAAAAATTTAACGGATGTAATTACAGTACAATCGTAGTGTAATTACACTATAACTTGCATGTAATTACACTGTAACTATAAATATAACTTGTATGTAACTTTCAAAAATATCTCCGTAAAATGTTATTTTCGGTACAATGGAGGTCGTGGGAACAAATCCTTTCACATATGTGTGTGCTGTGATTTTTTTCTCTTCCTTACCAAAACAAATCTTGTAATAGATCTAACGATTCAAAATTACGTTAAACTTACATACAAGTTATATTGTATTTACATGCAAGTTACAGTGTAATTACTCTACGATTGTACTATAATTACATCCGTCAAATTTTTAGGAGAAAATTTGTCGACAAATGTATAGGTGGTCCCAAATAAATCCGTTAGTTGTAACTCCGTGTAATTTGTAGCAAATACACAGTACCAGGGTAGAATTGCCTTGTCGTGCAAATCCGGCCCAAAATGCAGCTTGGGTCTAGCTCTACATTCCCTTTCGCGATTTCAGACGTACGTGCCAAGTGTCCAAGTGGACGATCGAAAACCCTGCATATGTTCAAGCGACTCTTAAAGTTTGGACTAAGATAAGAAATTCCCTAGACCACGACCACATATATACTCTCTTTAATTGCTGGCACTCTCGGACAAATGAGACACTATCAATAGTTTAATAATTCAGCAAGTGGTTCGTTTTTTTTTCTCTCATAACATCAGAAACGGGTATTCAACGCATCCGAGAATTACAGTCTATGTGCCGGCCCTGCCGATTGCGCCAAATTGTTCACGAGCGAGAAACTCGATCGAGACTTCATGCGCATTTTGTGCATAATTAATCCGAACTAAACGCGTCACACTTAATTAATTAGCTTTGTTTTTTTTTTCCTAATTTGCTAGTTGAGTAGTTGACCCCCCTCAAAAAAACAACTAAACAAATTTCTAGCAGTTGGCATTGGCCAACGCCTTCATCCAAGCTTTGTGCCATTTTTTAAAGAGCTTATCATACATATGTCATCCCAGTTTGATATAGATGATGCTTGTTGAAACTCAGTTTGTGTAACAATTATACACAAACGAATAATTAAATATTAGAAAGCTCAAAAGTCCATGTGCTGCCAATGTTCGGATGGTGGTTTCGGATTGGCTAACAGAGCATGGCGGCAGGGTTGCAGAGGGTTCCAAGCGAAAACTTAGCCCAATGATTTATTGGGTCAACTACGCTTTTGGGCGTGGTAATCATCCTGAGGACGCTGTTGGGATACCCCTCCTCCAACAGTAAGGAGCTCTGAGTGAAAACCTGTCTAGTTCTTTGGACGGATGACAACGGCGTCTTTCGGCACCACAACCTTCGTGAGGGCGTCGTTTTTTAGAGTCTCCGCTTCGTGGTGGTGTTGTAAACCCGGTGGTGACCGGTCTCTCGTAGCGACGGTCGGCTTGGTGCTCCGCTTCCCTCTCTGTAACATGTGTCTGTGCGGTTGGCACATGGTTCGGGGCGTGTGCTCTAGTTCATATTCTTTCTCGACAGTCAGTTGTCGATGAAAAATTTTTTTGCAACATTTTTTTCATCTATCTTAATAACATTTGGATAACCTTCTTTGGTCATCCCGGTAAGAAAAAAAGGAAAAGCTCAAAAGTAAATTAAAAAACTTTTATAAGGAATGCCAATGAAAAAAAAAAGGACATCGCTCCAACTTGCAATGTCTTTTCTAAATTACTGTTTAGTCGATGACTCGATGTAATACATTGTATTCGCATTGTTATTTTTATTTTATCACCCTGCTTAGAGTTTCGCCCGGAGCCATGAAATTTTCTGGGATGGCCTTGATATAATTATCCTCTTCCGCAGACCATGTAAGAGGAAAACAGAACCTTCGCGGACGAACAGTTTGATCTCTTTTTTTATTACTCGACATAAATTCCCTGTATGAACAGCAATTTATTTTGCATGGCATTGGTGATCGTACTGTCTGTGCGAGTAGTTAAAAAAAAAGTGATCGTACTGTCACGACGAGTCGACGAACGAAGACCAGCAACAACCGAGATCAGAATTGAAGCTAGCAAATGCACGCGTCCACACAAAACCTTGCGAAAAACGATCCACGACCCTCACAAGAAATCTTGACCTCAGCTCACTAATTAACTAACACAGGGAGTACGAAAACAAAAATAAAACGTAGAGAGGTGCTTACTCCTAATCATCATCAAACGAAGCATCGTTTCCTGTGGCACACGCCTCACGGCGTATGTCCAAGTCATCAATAATTAGACTTTTCAACACATGACTGCATTGGCTGCTTGATATCGCCTTATATGCGCTCATAATTTCTTTGCCCTATGTAGTACAAGTGTACAACCAATTGCCAAACTGCTATAGTTGAAACGATGGCTGGATTGGTCATCGGCTACCTGGCCGTGCAGCTCTCGCTGATGTCTCTGCTGCTCTGCCCGTCCTCGTCGACGGCGCAGCACACGCTGGGCAGATCCTCCATGTCGGTGGAAGACCACGCGCGGCCGTTCCTGGTGTCGACGGACGGCAGCTTCTCCTGCGGCTTCCTCGAGGCCGGCGACAACGCCTTCACCTTCTCCGTCTGGTTCACCGCCGACCCGAACAGGACCGCCGTCTGGTCGGCCAACCGCGACGCCCCCGTGAACGGCAGGGGCTCCAGGGTCTCGTTCAGCCGCGACGGCGAGCTGGCCCTCGCCGACACCAACGGGACCACGGTGTGGTCGAGCAAAACGACGGCTGGCACCGGGAACAGAAGGGGCCTGACCGTCTCCCTCCGCGACACCGGGAACCTCGTCGTCGGGGACCCGTCGACCGGCCTCGCCGTGTGGCAGAGCTTCGAGTGGCCGACGGACACGCTGCTCCCGTCGCAGCGGTTCACCAAGCAGACCAAGCTCGTCGCCGGCTACTTCAGCCTCTACTTCGACAACGACAACGTGCTGCGCATGCTCTACGACGGCCCGGAGATCGCCAGCATCTACTGGCCGCTGCCGGGGTTGACCGTGTTCGAAAACGGCCGGACGAACTACAACAGCACGAGGATCGCCATCCTCGACGACGCCGGCGTGTTCCTGTCCTCCGACCAGACGAAAGCCGAGGCCACCGATCTGGGCCTCGGCATCAAGAGGCGGATAACCATCGAACAGGACGGCAACCTGAGAATGTACAGCCTGAACGCGTCCACCGGAGGCTGGGCGGTGACATGGTCGGCGCTCAAGCAGCCATGCCAAGCTCACGGGCTGTGCGGCAAAAACGGCCTCTGCGAGTACCTGCCGAGTCTCCGGTGCTCGTGCCTACCTGGGTACGAGATGGTCGACCGCCGGGACTGGAGGAGAGGCTGCAAGCCGACGTTCCCAGTCGGCAACTGCAGCCAGGGATCGGCGCCGCCGCCGTCGCCGGCGACGGCGCCGCCGCAGTTCAAGTTCATCGAGGTGGCCCAGACTGATTTTTTCGGCTTCGACCTGGGGTACACCGAGTCCATCACGTTCAAGCAGTGCAGGGACCAGTGCATGAACAACTGCCAGTGCACCGCCTTCTCGTACAGGCTCGACGGCCGGGGAAAATGCTACCCGAAAGGCACGCTGTTCAACGGCTTCACGTCGGCGAATTTCCCCGGGAGCATCTACCTCAAGGTGCCCCTCGACTTCAACGCCTCGTCGCCGCGGGTCTCCGCGCAGCGCGCCGCCGGCCTCGCCTGCGGTGCCAACGTCACCGTCGTGACCGTGTCCGCTGACGTGTACGGGATGGCGCCAGGAAGCAACGGGCAGTGGACCTACTTCTTCGTCTTCGCCGGCGTGCTCGGAGTCCTGGACATCCTCTTCATCGCGACGGGCTGGTGGTTCCTCTCCAGCAAGCAGAGCATCCCCAGCTCGCTGCAGGCAGGGTACAAGATGGTGATGACGAGCCAGTTCAGGCGGTTCACGTACCGGGAGCTCAAGGGCGCGACGGCCAACTTCAAGGAGGAGCTCGGCCGCGGCGGCTCCGGCGCGGTGTACCGCGGCGTGCTCGACGGCGGTAAGGTGGTGGCGGTGAAGAGGCTGGCGGTCGACGTGACGATGCAGGGGGACGAGGAGTTCTGGTCGGAGATGACGGTGCTCGGGCGGATCAACCACATCAATCTTGTCAGGATCTGGGGATTCTGCTCCGAGCGCAAGCACAAGCTGCTGGTGTACGAGTACGTGGAGAACCAGTCGCTGGACCGGCACCTGTTCGACGCGTCCGACGGCAGCGGCGGCAAGGCGACGACGCTGGCGTGGAGCGATCGGTACAAGATCGCGCTGGGCACGGCGAGGGGCCTCGCCTACCTCCACCACGAGTGCCTCGAGTGGGTCATCCACTGCGACGTGAAGCCGGAGAACATCCTCTTGACGCGAGAGTTTGAAGCCAAGATCGCCGACTTCGGGCTGGCGAAGCTGTCCAAGCGGGACGGCGGCGCCGGCGTGGAGCTCACCCACATGAGAGGGACGTCGGGGTACATGGCGCCGGAGTGGGCGCTGAACCTGCCGATCAATGCTAAGGTGGACGTGTACAGCTTCGGCATTGTGCTACTGGAGATGGTGGTAGGAAGCAGGGTCGCGGACCAGAGGACGGAGGCCGGCGAGCCGCTGCAGCTGCCGCAGATCACGCAGGCGCTGAGGCATGTGGTGGACAGCGGCGATGTGATGTCCCTAGTGGATGCCAGGCTGCAGGGGCAGTTCAACCCTCGGCAGGCCATGGAAATGGTGAGGATTTCTCTGGCGTGTATGGAGGAGAGGAGCTGCAGGCCGACCATGGACGACATTGCCAAGTCTCTCACCGCGTTCGACGACGAGGACGAACACCCTGCCTACCACTCTTGATCAGTACTCATGACCACCAGGCAAATGGCACGCTGGATTAACTATAGAAGTACATCCGTACTTAGTTCAGAGTTCAGAGTTCAGAATTTCTTTTTAAGCTCCTCAGAGCATACTAATTTTGTATGAAGTTTTTGAAAAGAAAAACTTCATTTTATCTCTCAACTCAAATAAAAGATAGAACTGCGCCAAATCTTTTTAATGCTAGACAAATTAGTTCTCTTAGTACAATGCTACAATCCAATATATGTTATTTTCTTGAAACAGGAATCCAATATATGGTTTTGGTTAAATTGCCACATGTTTTGCCTCTCTTTGCCTAGGGCTGAAACTCCATCCGTTCTCAAATATAAGGGACATAAGCATTTAAAATTTATTTCAAAATATAAAATATTTATGTACAATTTGTCCAATCAATCATCTTACCATTCAAATTTTCTTTTCACTTTCCGAATAACATTTTCACTCACCATATAATGGGGGGTGTTATAGTCTTTATCTTTATTATTAATTTATACAAGAAAACCTATAATTCCTTGTACGTATTTAGGAACTGAGGGAATATCTATCTTTCCCTCGTTGGTAGAGCCAAGGAAGTCAAGTCACAGCTACAATGGCCGATCATTGAGCTCAATATTGTGGTGACTACGGTCATAGCATATTGGAATTTTCTCCAGGGAATTCTATTGGACATGGATCCTCTCTGCAGTACAACACATGCATTAGCAGATCCGATCTCATATGTCAGTAGTAGCTATTAGAGGTGTAATACTACAGACAATTCGTACTGAAATATATTTGTCTCGAGAGGACATTTATTTGTTTTGTGCAAGTCGCGTAAAAAGTCATAAAAAATAAGATAGATCAATATGTGGCACAAACATACAAATCAAATTTAACCTATATAAGCATAAAAAAAAACAAATTTGAATGTGAATAGTGTAGTTGATTATTTGCTCCATGCCTCTAAAAATACTCCCCATTGGTACATAAGTATAATTTTAGCTAGTCGAAGACATATTAAGTAAAGAATTAAAATATTACTATGCCCTTCATTATTATGCAAAGAAAACATGGATGGGGAGTAAACTAGAAGGATGAGATATTTATATTGGTTCAATGGCTAAAAAGGAGAAGTAAAAGATGAAGTAGTATTAGAAAGTTCTAGTGGACCACTCAAAAACTAAAATTATTTACAGACAAATCTTTTAATTAAAACTACACTTATTTAAGGATGGCAGGGGTATTTTCTGTATATTGTTTAGATCACTTATTTTGTGTTGTTTGTTCAGTTTTTAAAATTTTTAAATCATCTCTATATATAACGAAGTAGATAATTCATTAAAAAAAATGTAGGGCCTTGGAGCACAGGAAACATCTAGAACAATGACGGGTGGTTTTCGGTAAGGAATATGGATAATAGTTGGATAATAGCCAAACAGTGCCATCATCGTGTGTAGGGAGAAAAAGAAACAAAGGAATAAAATGGCAAGGAATGACGTGCGGGATGATCTTTCTTTCCTTGTTTTTTTTTTTACTATTTTGCTACTATCTCTGTTTTAATATGTAACTAGCATGGTGGCCCGTGCAGATTGTACGGTTAGCATCATTATATTTTCTCTTATATAATAGCATATATGTTTTCTCATTATATTATTCAAATATATTAAAATGACAACATAATTTTAAATTTTGCAATAACTTTACAAAACTACTAATGTGTAATATTTATATTATATTTTATATACGTGTTAGTTATTAATTATTTTTAATATCAAATTTTAGTTATTTGTAAATTATATATATTCCTATATGGACTCTAGACTCATCTTTAATATTTTTTTAATTCTGAATTTTCTGAAAATTGTATTTCTATATAGAGTACTCTATGCTCTTCTTCCAATATTATTTATTTTATATCTGAATTTTTATTATTTCTAATTGTATTTCTATGTCGACTCTAAATTCATCTTTCAATATTCTTTAATTTTTCATTTCAAATTTTGAATTTCAGTTACTTCGTAAGTTGTATTTCTATATAGACTCTATGCTCTTCTTCCAATATTATTTATTTTTCTTTCTAAATTTTTATTATTTCTAATTGTATTTCTGGACTCTAAACTCATCTTTCAATATTCTTTAATTTTTAATTTCGAATTTCGAATTTCATTTACTTCGTAAATTGTATTTCTATATAGACTCTATGCTCTTCTTCCAATATTATTTATTTTTCTTTCTAAATTTTTATTATTTCTAATTGTATTTCTGGACTCTAAACTCATCTTTCAATATTCTTTAATTTTTAATTTCGAATTTCAGTTACTTCTAAATTGTATTCCTATATTGACTTTGAACTCTTCTTCCCATGTTTTTCTTAATTTCGAATTTTAGTTATTTGTAAATTGTATTTTTATACGGACTATAAACTCTACTTTTAATTTTATTATGTTTATTCCAAATTTTAGTTAGTTTTAAATTTCTATATAGACTCTACACTCTACTTATAATATTCCTTACTTTTTAATTCCGAATTTCTATTTTTTTTCTTAATTGTTTTTATATATGGACTCTATACTCTACTTCTAATATTTCTTATTTTTAATTCCGAATTTCAGTTATTTTCTAATTGTATTTCTATATGAACTCTATACTCTACTTCTAATATTCCTTATTTTTAATTCCGAATTTCAGTTATTTCTTAATTGTATTTCTATATGGACTCTAGTCTCCTATTCTAATATTCCTTATTTTTTAATTCCGAATTTTAACTATTTCTAAATTGTATTTCTATATGGACTCTAGTCTCCTCTTCTAATATTCCTTATTTTTTAATTCCGAATTTCAGCTATTTCTAAATTGTATTTCTATATGGACTCTGTTTTTTCTTTTTCTCCGATTAATGTGAGAATTTCTAGGCCATGAGAGCAAACGTGGAGGCTCCTTTTTATATTCCTTTAATAATATAATAACTAGCTGGGTGGCCTGCGCAATTGCGCGGCTAGCACCGATATAAAATTATCTAATTTTTAATATAGTTTTACTTAAAATTTTGTTAAATAGATATCTCGTTGTCTTAAGACTTTGAAAAACCAAACCTTATCATCCCTGTGTTTCTAATTTTATTTTTTTAAAAGTTATGTCAGTTGCTACTCCTAAATTCTTTGTCACCTGTCATTTATTTGCTTTCTCGATCTACCACTACGTCTATTTGTGTCGAGGGAAGACCCCCTGATCGCGGGTCGCGTGACCCCCCTTTCGTGAGTTCGGCCGAGGGCAGAGACTCGTCTCTCCGAAGTCGCGTGTTCGTCCCTCCGATCCCCGTTTAGATAGCACACAATTCGATTACCCAGGTTCAAGCCGCTTTGGAGCGTAATACCCTCCTCCTGCGTTTGGGATTATCAGTGGATTTTTACAAGGTTCTCCTTGCTCCTCTCCGCTCTCCGGTGGGCAAGGTCCTCCTTTTATAGCTTAAGGGGATACCACATGCGCCGCCTCTACCCTCCCCCTCCATCGGAGGGAGGGGAGGGGGCCCTTCTCCCTCTTCCCACCGGGTTTCAACCTGTGCCTTTTGCTGGAAGCTAAGCATCGGTCGGTCCTTGAGTGGGGCCCAGCGCCGTCTCCCGCCTGACACGGGGGGCAGCCCTGTCATTCCCTCATAAATGAGTGAGGACTTGCGGCAGCCCTGCATCGAACGACGTCCGGATGTGACGGGGCGTACCTACCGCCACTCCGCGGAGACAGAGGCGACGTGGGGGCACGACCACCCGTTCAATCGGCCGTGACCGGCAATAGACTGGTCACAGACCGGTCGCATCCGACTGACAGGGGTCGGTCGGGCACGCCGCACGTCTGCCCTCGCCGCATTGAATGCGGCGAGGGACGGTTGGGGCGCTGCACATTTATGGCCGCCCAGCCTAGACTCTCCTCTCACCCTTCCCCCCGAGGGAGGGCCTCGGGCTAAAACGACGGGAGAGCCCGAGGGGGTGACGTCACCCCCGAGGGGATGTCGTCGACCCCCGAGGCTCTCCCCATCACCTTAGTGACTCACGAGGTATGTGGGTGGGACCAGCTCGCAGAGCCACGTGGCTGGAAAGGGAAGTAGCTCTCCTTTACTCCACATACCCCCGGGCCCATATCTCCGACAGTAGCCCCCGGCGCCATGTCAGACGCGGGCTTCCTGGGATCGGTCTGACATGGTGCCTCACGACCTCCCTAGCTGGGGTTGTGGGCCCGGCGGGGAGTTTAAAGGAGTATTGCCGAGCGGCCAGATTAGCGGGCCAGCCATAGCGGCGGTTCGGTCGCCTCTGATCGCGCTAAAGACGAGGATGCTTGGGACGCGATAATCGGGGGATCGGTTAGACCACGCCTCGATTACCTCGCCCGCTATTCCTACGGCGGTTGTGGTGACGGTTCACTCAGCTTGCGCTTATAGCCGTTGCGCATTCCACCTCGAGTGCGCCGCTGATAGGCGCACTAAAGGTGGGACGCGGACACGACGGGCGACGTGGTGAACGGGCGCGGGAAACGGAGAGACAACTGCGGACGTGGGGGCAATTATGAGGGTGCGAAACGAGGAGGCGAGCGCGGATGAGACAAGAATTAAAAGGGAGTGGAGGCAGGGACCTCTCCTCCTTCCTTTCGCCAACCGCCGACTCGTCCTCTCGCCTCTCGAACCCTAACACTCTCGCCACTCCACGCAGCTTTGCGCGCCACGCCTTCTGCCACTGCCTCGCCGGCCACCATGGCTCAAGACACCGGCGACACAGTGCTCCCTTCTCCCCGCATCTCGGCAGACAGACACCTTAGCCTCCCCCGCAAAATCATGCCGGACGGCGCCGTCGTGAGGGCGGGGGAGTCACGGCCGCGGCCGCGATATCCGGAGCGGTCCGTGCACCTCTTGTCCTTCGCCATGGCGGGATTGATTCCGCCTTTCTCCCGATTTTTCCACGAGGTTCTGGATTTCTACGAAATCCATGCCTTGCATCTCGCGCCCAACGCCGTGATGACAATGAGCATCTTTGCGCACCTGTGCGAGATGTTCATCGAGGTGCGACCGACGATGCGGTTGTTCCAGGCCTTCTTCGTCCCGCAGCTGCTACAGGGTGCGGTGGTGGGGGGATGTTACTTCCAGCCCCGACCAGGCACGGCGGGGCAGTACATCGAGAGCCACCTCCGCAAGAAATGGGAGGACTGGAAGAAAGACTGGTTCTACACCGCGCTGCCGGATCACCCACGACTTCGAGTTCCCGCCGGTCCTCCCGAGAGATCCGCCGCATGGCTGACGGCTTCGGAGCTGGGCGAGGAATATGACGCGGTGTGGGATCGTCTCAGGGGCCTGCGAAGCTTGGGCCTCACAGGAGCAATGGTCTTCGGCGACTACTTTCGCCGCCGTATCGCCCCTCTCCAGGAACGATCCCGTGGCGCGTGGGAGTATACCGGCCCCAACGACCCCATGCGCAAGCACGCGGGCGAGCGCTGGGACTGGGGCGAGGAGGACGCCAAGATGGTGATTCGGCGGGTGCTGGGCCTGGACTCCGCCGAGCAAACACTGATCCCGGATGGGATCCTCCCCCTCTGCTGCGACCGCGACCGGGAGAGCATCTTGGCCGTGATGTCGGTCGTCGGCGCCGGCAGGGGCCGGCCTGGCCGAGGGGGCGCCAGCGGTAGCGCCGCCAGCGCCGGTGGTGGCGGCGCGTCCGTGGGCGGGAGCCGGCCAAGCGGTCCGGGCGGTGGTGGCGACTCACGGGCGCCCGGCTCGGGCCCGGAGACGACCCAGCAAGTGACCCGAAGGGGAAGCGGAAGGCGGCCAAATCTTGGCCGCCCTCTCCCCCGCGTGGAAGGGGTGCAGAGCGCGCGACAGACCTTCCACCGGCGGGTCACAAGCGACCTGCCGGGCCCGAGGCCGGTCGGAAGAAGAAACGGCTTCGGAAAATAGGGCAAACGGAGCCGTGCCGAGGGAGCTTCATCGAGCCCCCGAAGTGGACCTTCAACCATCCTCCCCGCAGGTACAAACGCTGGCGCCCACTTCGGTGCTCTTACCTAGCTCGGCCTCTTGTTCCCTCCCTTTCTTTTTCTTTTGTTAACGCGATCTGGGTTCCCTTGTAGCGATATTCCTTCTCAGGGGACCTCGGGGTCGGACCCCTCGCGGAGGACGAAATCCGCACAACCGGAGCGGTCCGGGCCTGGCCAATCCAAGGCCACGGGGTCTTCGCAACCTCGCGGTGGGGTCCACAGGACACGTACCGGGCCCGAGGTTGAGGTCGAGGCTGGGGGCGGTCCTGAGCCCGAGGCCGAGGCCGAATCCACCCGAGGACTGGGAGCGGGGGACGAAAAGAACAGCCGCTCCCCCTTGCGTTTGGGGCACCCTCGGGGCTGGCCTCGCAGAAGGGGGGCCGAGAGCAGGCCCCGTCTCGCGGGGGGTCCAGCAGCACTCCGTCGTCCCGGGGGCGAACCGCGGGCTTTTCTTCCCCATCCCCGGCGAGCATGGAGCCACTTCTGCAGGTGCTCGCCGCCGCCGACTCCACTGTCCGGGAGGGGCTCAACACCCAAGTTCAAGCCCTGGCGGAAGAGCGGACGGCCCTGGATGCCGAATGGGCTCAGCTTGTGGCGGACCGCGCGCGAGTCGACGAGGGGCACCGTGCCGTGGAGGACATGGTGAGGGTGGGGCGCAAAAAACACCAAGCCCACCTAGCTAAAATCCAGGCGCGCGAGGAGGTGCTGGACTCCGTCATGCGGGAGGCGGAGGAGGAGCGGCAGGCGGCGCTGATCGCCTCGAGCGCCCTGGACGAAGCGCTGGGCGATATTCGCCTTTAGTACGAGGCCCATGCCGAGGACCTGGCGGAGAGGGTCAGGAATGCGCGTGGCACCCTCGACGCAGCCGCTGCCCACGAGCGGCGAGCAGCGGAGGCCGACACCTCGTTGCAGGCCCGGACTGCGGCACTCGAGGCTGAACGCAAGGCCTTGGACGATCGTGCCCGCTCCGTGCAGGAGTTTGAAGCCACGATCCGTCGGCGGATTGAGGTCCTTGATCGGAGCCAGCGCGAACAAAACGCGCGCGGCCAGGAACAGGCGCAGCGGGCCCAGGAGCTGGAGGAGCAAGCACGCCTGCTGGATCAGCGGGAGTCCACCTTGGCCGCCCATGAGAGAACGGCGGCGGAAACGGAGGCCTCCCTTCACCTTCGTGAAGAGGCCGCGGCTGAGCACGACCGGATCACTCTCGCCGCGGAAGCTTCCGCGGGCCGCCGCGCGGAAGAGCTACGGCTGCGGGAGGAGGCGTGCCGGGAACGGGACGCCGCACTCGCCGAGCGCGAAGCCGAGGTAAACCGCCGCGAGGTAGCCTTGCGCCGGCTGGGCGAGCAGCTTGCGAAGCGCGAGGAGGCTGCTGCTGGGCGCGAGGCCCGGCATCTGGAGAGCGCTTGCGCTGAGCGCGCGGCGATAGCGGCGAGGGCTTCCGAACTGGAGGCCCGGGAGAAGCACCTGGCAGCCGGCGGGCCGCCCGGCGGCGCGGGGTTGGCGAGCGAGCTCGCTAAGGCTCAGAGTACCCTTGCCGACCTGGGGCGCCTGGTGCAAGATCAGGCTGGGGAGATCGCGGCCCTTCGCCTCACCAACGAACTCGGGCCCGGGCAGCTCTCCGACGCCGTCGCTCGGCTGGAGCGCGCGGCGCGCCGAGTCGGCGTTCCCATGCGCCAGCATAGCCAACTTCCGCCCACACAACCAGCGCTCGCGTTCCGGTTGGACGGGCTAGCGGCGGGCCTGGAGAGACTGGAAGAGGAGGTCGGCGAGACCATAAAGTCCTCGTCAGCTTCTTTGGCACGGGCCGCGGTGGAGCTGGTTCTTGCAAGCCACCAAGCGCGCGACCCCGACTTCATGCCGTGGTGCGCACTTGAAGATTTTCCCCCAGGAACTGAAGCGAGGGCCCGGGAGCAAGTTCGGGAGGCAGCCGACGCGATTTTCTCGGGCTTCGAGGGATCGGCCCCCCGCTTCACCTCCGGGCTCGCCTCGGACGAAGAAAGCGGGAGCGGGGGTGACGATAGCGACGAAGACTAGGACGACATCGTCAGCGGCGCCGGCCTCGGAGGGCCGGGCACCCCGTGACTATCCGCGCCTTCAATTCCCTCTTGTTGTGCGCCCGTAGCGGGCACCTCTTGTATTTAGGCCGTCGTGCCATCCTGCCTTGTTTTGCAATTGAAACTTGCTTAGCTCCTTTTCCCCTTTCGCTTCTTCTATTCATTGCTCCTTCCACTGAATGTCTTTGAAACAGAGAGAACAACAAACAAAAAACAAGGGAAAAAGGGGATAATCAGTCCGTGATCGAGACGCCGCTTTGACCCCACCCCCCCTCGGGCTTGTTCTAGCGAGATGGTGAATCCGCGTTTGGTCCAGGGCACCTAAGTGGTGATGGACAAACCCACCGCTCCGAGGGAGCCGCCTAGCGGGACTGGCCAGACCGAGGCCGCGTCGACCGGGGGTCGGGGACGGCCGTGTGTAGGCCCTTCCGATCCTCCGGGGTTCGGCGCAACCCAGGGCACGGCCCGCGTTCGTGCTCCCTTTCGGGGTTTCTAGGCCGCCTCACAGCACTTAGGATTCAGAGCAAACGCAGATTACCCCTTAAACCAGGACAAGCCAGAGGAAGGGAAAAAAGAAACGGTCTTTGGGTAAAAGTACACAAGAATTCATTGCTTGTAAGAGGAAAAAAGGATACACAGTGGTAGCCCCCGGCCAGGCGCGCACAAACCGAGGGGTTGTGCGGGGGCTGGCCCGAGCTCCAAGAAAGCAAAAAAGTCTCGATATTATGGATAGAAGCGATGGAGGTGTTCGATATTCCAGGGGTTAGGCAATTCTGTGCCGTCCTCCGTGGTTAACTGTCACGCCCAGAAATTTAGCCCAAATTTCCAGACTATTTTGTGTATTAAATCCCTGTCCAGGACCAGCCAGGGTACACAAAACGACAAATAATATACAGTTCCAAACGTAAATAAAGCGTAAAATACTTACAGAAGAGGCACTTAGTCCTCACACCGAAACAAAAGCAGCAGCAGCGGAAAAAGGCGATCCTAGCGGGGCTTCAGCTCCACTCCACAGGCAAAACTCAACTGGGGTCTGAGCCTTGGTCCTCTAACTTCGTCTTCAGCTCAGAAGCACTACACTTCTGAAAAGGGGGAATAATAGCAAGGCTGAGTACAACCACCGTACTCAGCAAGCCACACCAACGATGCAGACGTGCAAGGGGAACACAAGGACGGTTTGTGGCTATTTGCATAAAGGCGGTTGTAAAACATTTTATTGAGCAAAACAGTAAAACAGTTGAGTAATTAAAGTAACATTAAATCTCCACTGATCAACGCTACACCACGTTGAACAGGCCCAACCAACCCACCTGGACTACAGTGTATTGGGTCGATTTATTAAGATGGGACTAATCACGGTGAATCTGGTCGACCGCCCATAACCGCGGGCACGGCTATTCGAATAGTTTTACTCTGATCAGAGGTGTACAACTGTACCCACAAAACACAGCCCCACGACACGTTTCCGTGCGCCGACATGCCACCACGACATACCGGAAAGAGGCCGTGACAGGACCCTTCGCATAACCCCCTCTAACCGATCGCACCACACCTTAGGGTTCGCCCCCGTCCCCAGCAGGCAACGGGCAGCCCCCCTTTCGTGCCGCGGTGAATCCGGAAGCCGATCAACCGGACACCCCGGCCGACCCAACTCCATCACGCCCACCCTCGCCTGGGTACGTCGGCTAGAGAAAAGCTACACTACAAGCCCAGCCGTTGCCCACGCTGGCTTGTGGTAAGTACGATAAGTTCTTCCAGGGCATCCCGCGAACCGGTCCTTAATCGCCATGGGCACGTCTAGCAAAACCATGCACCCACAGCCCACCATTCAGTTGCATTTTAGTTGGATAATTACGACCATGAAGCATGGCCAGATGTCTCGAGCACGCAGCTCATTCTGATACTAAAAGGTCTAATACTGTAATTATCCCATCAACTGAGCTAGTAGTAATTAAGCATGGCTAAGCATATAGTTCTAGCTAGGTCACATAAGTAACCTGAGCTAGTCGATTCATTACCCAAGGTTGACAAAGAACAGATATCAAGTAAACATGGCACAAGCGAGCAGATAGGTAATACCCAGATCCCATGTAATTAGCAAAACATGCATATTTATTTGTAAACGGTAAAACATTTATAAATTGGGATCAACATGCTCAAGGGGAATGTGTGACTTGCCTTGCTTCTTCAAAACAATCTTCCGAACTCTTTTCCTTGCGACCGCAGACTTCCGAAACAACGGATTCTACACGCTGGCACGCAAAACGAGGAAAAACTCTAATAAAAACCAAGGAAACAGTACATAAAAAGTAAACAAACATGTAGAGCTCAATTTTAGATGAATTTTGCAAGTTGAATGGCTCAATTCGGAGTTCGAATGAATTAGATATGAATTTTAGAAGGTTTTGAGCCATTTTAATGAATTTCTAGAATTATTCACGAATTATTGCGCAATTATTATTTATTTTCTCAAAGGAAAAGGCTGTGCTGACGTCATCAAAGGGGAGGGGCGGCGCCGGCAAGCGGGCCCCACCGGTCAGCGGCACAAAGGCGCCGGTCCACCGTGGACCGGGACCACCGAGGCGGTCCACCGCCGGTCCACGGGATCCGACGGCCCGGATCGGCCCAAAGCCGATCGGACGGCCACGAGGCGGCGCGGCTGGGGCACGGGCACGGCATGAAGCCGGCTCGGCCGAGACATGGCGCGGCGGCGGCAAGGGGGAGGCGGCAAGGGGGAGGCGGCAACCGGCTGCAGCAGCCGGCGACGTGGAACGGCGGCGGGTGGCCGGAGGACAGCGGCGCGCACGGGGACGGCGACGCACCCCAAGAGGCGGCGGTCGGCAAGAAAGGGGACCGGAAAAAAAGGAAGGGAGGAGAGATCCTCACCGGAAGCGGCGGCCGACGCGGAGGAAGAGGACGGCGACGACGATTGCCCAATGGCGGCTTGCGAGGACGGAGGGCGGACGGGGTCGCCCTTGACCTTCCGAAGAGAGAAGAGGGAGTTAGGGAGAGGAGGACCGATGCGGGGTGACTGGAAACGAAGACCGATGGCGATGACAAGAGGTAGAGCTCACCGGCGACCGAGGAAGGAGGAGCTCCGGCGGATTTCCGGCGAAGAGGGGTGGCGGCCGAGGTCCTCCTCGTCCTTGCGGAGCTGAGGGAGGCAACGGCGCGAGTCGACGTCGACCGAAGCGGCGGCGCGACGCGGCTGGAGGCGGTGAAAGGGGCGGCGGCCTCGGGTGTGCGGTGGGAGTGGTGCTCGAGGGGTGGAGAGGGGGAAATAAGAGGCGGCCGGACTTCCCCTTGCGGTGGCGAAGCTGGCGGTGGTGGTGCTCGGCGCGGCGACGGCTGTGGCGGCGGGAAACGGCGACCGGAGCTCGCCGGAGTGTGGCAGCGCGTGGGTGCGGCGTGGGGAGAGCGAGGGAGAGTATGCCGGGCTCGGGAAAAATGGGGAAACGGACGAGGGGAGCACGGGGATGCTTTTTATGGGCTCGGGGAGGAGAAATCGTGGCCGGACGAGCGGCAACGGCCGGCGGAGTGGGGAGGTGAAGTGGAGCTCGTGGGGAGGTCAAACCGGCGCTGTTTCTTGCGGGGTGAGTGGGGGAAAAGGTGGAGGACGTGGAGGGGGTTGTGTCCACGTGGTTGGATGTGAGCTCGGGTGCGGGAGGGCGCCGGATTTTGCGGCGACGTGGACGGCAATGGCGGTTGGGGTCGGCCGGCGAGAGGTAGGAGGAGGAGCTGACGGGTGGGACCGCTGGTCCCACCTGTCGGCGAAGGGAGAGAAGGAGGGACGCAAAATAGACTTTTGCGAGCGGGCCAAGAGAGAGGGGAGAAGGCGCGCGGGCCGCGGGAGAGGAAAGAAGACTTGGGCCGAAAATGGCCCAAAGAGAGGAAGGGGGAAATTTATTTGTTTTCTTTTTATTTAAATTAGTTTAATGAACTTTGTGACTTTAAAACTATTTCTCGAGCTCCGAAAATTCACGGAAAATTCCGGAGAGTACATTAGGGCACAAAGAATATTACAAAATATTCCCGGCCAATGATTTTTAAGGGAAAATTTTAATTCTCCCATTATTTCACTTGATTAAATTGATTTATCTTTTATTTAATTTCTAGAAAATGTATTATTAATGATTTTTAATCCCGAACGAAAATCGGGGCGTTACAAATCTACCCCCCTTACAGGAATCTCGTCCCGAGATTCTGGGATGGCTAGAAAGAAAGCTGGTGCTGGTGGGCGGTTTGACTGATCTGCACATTGAACTGCCACATTCTGCTTCGAACTGATTGATTGACTGGTTGATCAAACCTGCACGATTGAACTGGCTGGATTCAACCTTTCTGTTCCTTTGTTTTGCCAAAACTGGACCGACTGGTTATGCTTGAACTGACCTAGGCCAGAACTGTGGATGCTCCTGAAACTTACTTATCTTGGACTGAACTGTTGAGATTGGCAATTTTGGTAACCTGAGAATTCACCACGCTGGCTATAAGAGGATGAAAATGGAATCTGGCATTTGTAAATCATTTACCCTATGTCCGCTTGGACTGGTCCCAACTCAAATGACAAGTAATTCCAGGAAAACCTGCTTGACCTGTCTTTCGTCTGTACTACAACTGTCCTCGCTGTTGCTTCTCTAAGCTGAACTGTTGACATGCTTCACAGGTGTACCTTAGAATCGAACCTGTCGACCTGAGATTGGGGTGACTCTGCTAATGGTTCGCAACTGACTCCTTTAATTACGAACCAATTTGCCGCACCGGGTTGAACCTACAACTGAAACGGCAACGAGGTTAGCCAAAACTCATCTGTGAGACCTACCCCCCTTACAGTGGGTAGTCTTACTTTCGCCTGACTGAGAACCTTTGAACTGTTGTCCTTGAAAAAATGACCAACATTTCTCGGATTTACAGATGCCCTGACTTTGAAGACTGAAACTTCATCGGTCCATCAAATTGAAGCAATGGCGATGCACTTTCATCCCGACAAGATTTGGAACTTAAGCCTTAGTTGATGATAGGAAATTCCACATAAAGGTGACTCTCATTTAGCTCATGGACACATTGACTCTTGACTAACTTTCCCATAAGTTCTAACTACTGGCATGACTGTCCTGCTTCTAGCTTGACTTCGGTGTCGAGTTGCATAGTTGATTCCTCAAAACTGAACTGACCGACTCTGCATTGGAACTGACACAACTTGAGGAGTTGGGGTGTCACTAACAAAGCTCTTGATGTGATGACGCTGACGCCTTACTGTGGAACAACCCTCTGAGAGGTGCCCTGTCGTACATCTTCCATGGATAGTTGGACACTTTGCAAAAACTGCTCTTGAAAACCATAACCACTGTAGGTAGCATTTGTTGCCTCTGGGATTGGTGGTGACTTAGCTGTGCTGGTCTGCTGAAGACTTGGTGGCGTACTGTCTGAGGTTGCAGGTGCTTCCTCTTTGAAAACAAACTGGCTTTGGCTCTGATCCTAATTCCAGCTTGCATCTAGGCTTGTGCATGTTGTTGGAGACACTGTTGTTGCATCTGCTGCATCGGACTCTGCGGTTGCTACATCAATATCTGGCACATCCATCTTCCAATCTTGGCTAACCAGAGCAAGGTGCTCTGACTCAGCTGGTAGCTTGTTGTCTTGAACTGATCCACTGACTCTGACTGCAACACACTACTGTTGGAGTTATTTCCGCTACATTTGACCAGGTATCGAACCTGCATCTCCCACATCGAATACACCCATCTTCTGATCTTGGACACCAAAAGTTGATCATGAGCAGGGTTCATCTGGCATTGGGGCACCTTGCAGCTTTCAACTAAACCATTGATCTGTGGCTTTAATACACCGTCGTTGCTCTTCTCTCTGACACTGACCATCTGCCGCCAGAACGGAAGAGAGGTGGAAGAGAGGGGTTGCTAAAGATAAGGTACTAAACCACTTGCCTATTGATCTGTTGTGAGTAGATTTTTATGGTTTAAGTTGCTTAAGCAAACAACCTAGTATGGTCGCATCCCCACCAATGATGCAAACCATACCCCTACACACAAGCAAACAACACACGATCTAGAAAGCTAACGGAACTACTCTTCTGGGAAAGATTGGGTTTAGGTCATCTCCGAGAAAACTCCACTTGATCTTCGCAGAACGACGACTCTGAACTGATCTTCTCGCTCCTTGCACGAAGCTTGAGGCTTGACTTGACTTGACTCCCGAACAGACACAAAGCTGACGGTTTATCCTCCACGTTTTAACAACTATAAGAATTGGAGGGACAGGGAGGAGAATTTTGAAAAACTGTTTCGCAAAGAAAAGCCGAAGGGCGAGGGGAGACATTTTTCAAATAGGGTTTTCAGAAAGCTTGTCCTTAGGGTTTGACCGTTTGGCTCAACCTACAGTCAACCTGGCTCTGATACCACTTTGTCACGCCCAGAAATTTAGCCCAAATTTCCAGACTATTTTGTGTATTAAATCCCTGTCCAGGACCAGCCAGGGTACACAAAACGACAAGTAATATACAGTTCCAAACGTAAATAAAGCGTAAAATACTTACAGAAGAGGCACTTAGTCCTCACACCGAAACAAAAGCAGCAGCAGCGGAAAAAGGCGATCCTAGCGGGGCTTCAGCTCCACTCCACAGGCAAAACTCAACTGGGGTCTGAGCCTTGGTCCTCTAACTTCGTCTTCAGCTCAGAAGCACTACACTTCTGAAAAGGGGGAATAATAGCAAGGCTGAGTACAACCACCATACTCAGCAAGCCACACCAACGATGCAGACGTGCAAGGGGAACACAAGGACGGTTTGTGGCTATTTGCATAAAGGCGGTTGTAAAACATTTTATTGAGCAAAACAGTAAAACAGTTGAGTAATTAAAGTAACATTAAATCTCCACTGATCAACGCTACACCACGTTGAACAGGCCCAACCAACCCACCTGGACTACAGTGTATTGGGTCGATTTATTAAGATGGGACTAATCACGGTGAATCTGGTCGACCGCCCATAACCGCGGGCACGGCTATTCGAATAGTTTTACTCTGATCAGAGGTGTACAACTGTACCCACAAGACACAGCCCCACGACACGTTTCCGTGCGCCGACATGCCACCACGACATACCGGAAAGAGGCCGTGACAGGACCCTTCGCATAACCCCCTCTAACCGATCGCACCACACCTTAGGGTTCGCCCCCGTCCCCAGCAGGCAACGGGCAGCCCCCCTTTCGTGCCGCGGTGAATCCGGAAGCCGATCAACCGGACACCCCGGCCGACCCAACTCCATCACGCCCACCCTCGCCTGGGTACGTCGGCTAGAGAAAAGCTACACTACAAGCCCAGCCGTTGCCCACGCTGGCTTGTGGTAAGTACGATAAGTTCTTCCAGGGCATCCCGCGAACCGGTCCTTAATCGCCATGGGCACGTCTAGCAAAACCATGCACCCACAGCCCACCATTCAGTTGCATTTTAGTTGGATAATTACGACCATGAAGCATGGCCAGATGTCTCGAGCACGCAGCTCATTCTGATACTAAAAGGTCTAATACTGTAATTATCCCATCAACTGAGCTAGTAGTAATTAAGCATGGCTAAGCATATAGTTCTAGCTAGGTCACATAAGTAACCTGAGCTAGTCGATTCATTACCCAAGGTTGACAAAGAACAGATATCAAGTAAACATGGCACAAGCGAGCAGATAGGTAATACCCAGATCCCATGTAATTAGCAAAACATGCATATTTATTTGTAAACGGTAAAACATTTATAAATTGGGATCAACATGCTCAAGGGGAATGTGTGACTTGCCTTGCTTCTTCAAAACAATCTTCCGAACTCTTTTCCTTGCGACCGCAGACTTCCGAAACAACGGATTCTACACGCTGGCACGCAAAACGAGGAAAAACTCTAATAAAAACCAAGGAAATAGTACATAAAAAGTAAACAAACATGTAGAGCTCAATTTTAGATGAATTTTGCAAGTTGAATGGCTCAATTCGGAGTTCGAATGAATTAGATATGAATTTTAGAAGGTTTTGAGCCATTTTAATGAATTTCTAGAATTATTCACGAATTATTGCGCAATTATTATTTATTTTCTCAAAGGAAAAGGCTGTGCTGAGGTCATCAAAGGGGAGGGGCGGCGCCGGCAAGCGGGCCCCACCGGTCAGCGGCACAAAGGCGCCGGTCCACCGTGGACCGGGACCACCGAGGCGGTCCACCGCCGGTCCACGGGATCCGACGGCCCGGATCGGCCCAAAGCCGATCGGACGGCCACGAGGCGGCGCGGCTGGGGCACGGGCACGGCATGAAGCCGGCTCGGCCGAGACATGGCGCGGCGGCGGCAAGGGGGAGGCGGCAAGGGGGCAAGGGGGAGGCGGCAACCGGCTGCAGCAGCCGGCGACGTGGAACGGCGGCGGGTGGCCGGAGGACAGCGGCGCGCACGGGGACGGCGACGCACCCCAAGAGGCGGCGGTCGGCAAGAAAGGGGACCGGAAAAAAAGGAAGGGAGGAGAGATCCTCACCGGAAGCGGCGGCCGACGCGGAGGAAGAGGACGGCGACGACGATTGCCCAATGGCGGCTTGCGAGGACGGAGGGCGGACGGGGTCGCCCTTGACCTTCCGAAGGAGAAGAGGGAGTTAGGGAGAGGAGGACCGATGCGGGGTGACTGGAAACGAAGACCGATGGCGATGACAAGAGGTAGAGCTCACCGGCGACCGAGGAAGGAGGAGCTCCGGCGGATTTCCGGCGAAGAGGGGCGGCGGCCGAGGTCCTCCTCGTCCTTGCGGAGCTGAGGGAGGCAACGGCGCGAGTCGACGTCGACCGAAGCGGCGGCGCGACGCGGCTGGAGGCGGTGAAAGGGGCGGCGGCCTCGGGTGTGCGGTGGGAGTGGTGCTCGAGGGGTGGAGAGGGGGAAATAAGAGGCGGCCGGACTTCCCCTTGCGGTGGCGAAGCTGGCGGTGGCGGTGGCTCGGCGCGGCGACGGCTGTGGCGGCGGGAAACGGCGACCGGAGCTCGCCGGAGTGTGGCAGCGCGTGGGTGCGGCGTGGGGAGAGCGAGGGAGAGTATGCCGGGCTCGGGAAAAATGGGGAAACGGACGAGGGGAGCACGGGGATGCTTTTTATGGGCTCGGGGAGGAGAAATCGTGGCCGGACGGGCGGCAACGGCCGGCGGAGTGGGGAGGTGAAGTGGAGCTCGTGGGGAGGTCAAACCGGCGCCGTTTCTTGCGGGGTGAGTGGGGGAAAAGGTGGAGGACGTGGAGGGGGTTGTGTCCACGTGGTTGGATGCGAGCTCGGGTGCGGGAGGGCGCCGGATTTTGCGGCGACGTGGACGGCAATGGCGGTTGGGGTCGGCCGGCGAGAGGTAGGAGGAGGAGCTGACGGGTGGGACCGCTGGTCCCACCTGTCGGCGAAGGGAGAGAAGGAGGGACGCAAAACAGACTTTTGCGAGCGGGCCAAGAGAGAGGGGAGAAGGCGCGCGGGCCGCGGGAGAGGAAAGAAGACTTGGGCCGAAAATGGCCCAAAGAGAGGAAGGGGGAAATTTATTTGTTTTCTTTTTATTTAAATTAGTTTAATGAACTTTGTGACTCTAAAACTATTTCTCGAGCTCCGAAAATTCACGGAAAATTCCGGAGAGTACATTAGGGCACAAAGAATATTACAAAATATTCCCGGCCAATGATTTTTAAGGGAAAATTTTAATTCTCCCATTATTTCACTTGATTAAATTGATTTATCTTTTATTTAATTTCTAGAAAATGTATTATTAATGATTTTTAATCCCGAACGAAAATCGGGGCGTTACATTAACCGAACGGAGCCTGGCCGGGGCACGCCGATCACTTTGTATGGGCCTTCCCACATTGGCGAAAGCTTGCTCAGCCCTAGGCGCGACTGAACGCGGCGTAGGACGAGGTCGCCAATTTGCAGTGATCGGGCCCGGACGTTACGCTGATGGTAGCGTCGCAGGCTCTGCTGGTAGCGGGCGGCACGCAAGGCCGCTCGCCTTCTCCGTTCCTCAAGATAATCGAGATCATCGCGGCGAAGGTCATCCTGGTTGGTCTCGCTGTACAGTGCGACGCGAGGCGATCCCAGGGAGAGCTCGGAGGGTAGGACCGCTTCGGCGCCGTACACCAGAAAAAACGGCGTTTCCCCGGTGGCGCGGCTTGGGGTGGTCCGATTTGCCCACAACACGGCGGGCAACTCCTCGAGCCATGAATCCCCGTGCCTCTTCAAGACGTTGTATGTCTTGGTTTTTAGGCCTTTGAGGATTTCGGCATTGGCTCGCTCGACTTGGCCGTTGCTCTTGGGGTGGGCGGGCGAGGCAAAGCATAACTTGATGCCCATGTTGTCACAGTAATCGCCGAACAGCTCACTGGTGAACTGGGTGCCGTTATCTGTGATAATGCGGTTGGGCACTCCGAACCGAGAGGTGATGCCCCTGATGAATTTGAGGGCAGAATGCTTGTCGATCTTGACGACAGGGTAAGCCTCGGGCCACTTGGTGAACTTGTCGATGGCGACGTACAGGTGCTGATACCCGCCTCGAGCCGCTTTGAAAGGTCCAAGGATGTCTAGCCCCCAGACCGCAAAAGGCCAAGAGAGGGGGATGACCTGCAAGGCTTGGGCCGGCTGGTGGTTCTGCTTGGCGTGGAACTGGCACGCTTTACACCGCCGGACCCATTCTTGGGCATCTTGTAATGCAGTCGGCCAATAAAAGCCTTGACGGAAGGCTTTCCCGACTAAAGTTCGTGAGGCCGGATGGGCCCCGCACTCGCCCTGATGGGTGTCGGCTATGAGCTCGATGCCCTGCTCTCGAGAAACACACTTCAAGAGTATCCCGTTGGCGGCACGCCGGTAGAGGGTCCCTTCTACGAGGACGTACCGCTTAGAGATGCGCGCAAGCTTTTCAGCTTCTGCGCGGTCCTCAGGATGAGTATTGCCGTCGAGATACGCCCGGATGTCAGTCATCCATGCGACTTGGCGAGGGGGGTCGGGGTCGACCCCCTCGGGCTCCGGGGGGCGCGGAGGAGGGTCGGGGTCGACCCCCTCGGGCTCCGGGGGGCGCGGGTCGGCAGGAGTCGGGGCGGAGGGTATGTCGTTGGAGCCCCTCGAGGGGTTCGGTCGTGCTGATGGTTGGACAAGCCTTTCTTCAAAGGTCCCCGGGGGAAGTGGGGCTCGCGCCGACGCAACACGCGACAGCTCATCAGCGAGCATGTTGTCGCGCCGGGGCACGTGCCGGAGCTCGATTCCGTCGAAGTGGCGTTCCATGCGCCGTACTTCGCGGACATATGCATCCATTTGAGGGTCGGTGCATTGATACTCTTTGGATACTTGATTTACGACCAGCTGGGAGTCACCTAGGACCAGGAGACGGCGGATGACCATTCCGGCTACCGCCCTCAACCCTGCGAGGAGCCCTTCGTATTCTGCCATGTTGTTCGTGGCTCGGAAGTCGAGCCGAACGACGTATTTGAGGACGTCTCCGCTTGGCGAGGTTAGTGTGACTCCAGCACCCGCGCCTTGAAGGGTGAGGGAGCCGTCGAAATGCATAATCCAGTGTCCGCCACGAATGTCAGCGTTTGGGTCCTCTTTCTCTTCGGGGGAGGAAGGGGGTTCGGACGGAACATGGTCGTCCACTGGGGCCCATTCCGCGATGAAGTCAGCCAGGACTTGACTTTTGATCGCGTGCCGCGGTTCGAAGTGCAGGTCGAACTCAGCTAGCTCGATGGCCCATTTTACCACCCGTCCGGTGCCCTCTCGGTTGTGCAAGATTTGGCCGAGAGGGTACGATGTTACCACGGAAACCCGATGTGCTTGGAAGTAATGGCGCAACTTCCTCGAGGCCATCAATACGGCGTAAAGCATTTTCTGGGCCTGCGGGTACCGGGTTTTCGCATCCCGAAGCGCCTCGCTGACAAAGTAGACGGGCCGCTGCACCGTTCGGCGGGGCCGGTTCGTGTTGTTAGGGGCGGATGACCCGGGGCGCGCCTGCTCGGGGGCCCCAGGGGATTCCGGATTATCTTGGGATCACAGGGCTCGGGGCCTCCTGCCAAAGCCTCGCCTTCTCCTCCGGGGGCCTCGGGGTCCTCCCGGGGGCTGGGGGCTTTGGGGGACGAGGGGCCATCACGAGCCGGAGGGACCTCCCGCTCGGTCTCCTCGCGTTCAACTACTAGGGCGGCACTCACCACGTGGGGGGTCGTAGCCAAGTAGAGTAGCAATGGCTCCTCCGGCCCCGGGGCCACCAGGATAGGGGGAGAAGTGAGGTAAGCTTTCAGCTGATTGAGGGCTTGCTCAGCTTCCTCCGTCCATACAAACGGCCCGGGGCGCTTGAGGAGCTTGAATAGGGGCAGCACTCTCTCGTCCAGTCTTGATATAAATCGACCCAGGGCGGCCATGCATCCAGCGACACATTGCACATCCCTGAGCTTGTTGGGGGGCGCATCCTCTCTATCGCGCGTATTTTCTCGGGATTTGCTTCTATGCCTCGGGAAGAGACTAGAAAACCGAGAAGCTTGCCCGCCGGAACGCCGAACACACACTTATCGGGGTTCAGCTTTACGCGCGTGGACCTAAGACTATCGAAAGTCTCGGCCAGGTCCTGCAGCAATGTGTCCCGGCGGCGCGTTTTTACCACTAAGTCATCGACATACGCCTCTACATTGCGCCCTATCTGATTACTTAAAGTAATTCGAGTCATGCGCTGAAAGGTAGGACCGGCATTTTTTAACCCAAAAGGCATGGTTGTATAACAAAAGGTGCCTACAGGAGTAATGAAGGCAGTTTTTTCTTCATCTTCCCTAGCCATGCCAATCTGATGGTACCCAGAGTATGCATCTAGAAAGCACAAAAGGTCGCACCCCGTAGTGGAGTCGACTATCTGATCTATACGTGGTAGAGGGAAGGGATCTTTAGGGCATGCCTTATTGAGGTCTGTGTAGTCGATGCACATCCGCAGCTTGCCGTTGGCCTTCGGGACGACCACCGGGTTCGCCAGCCACTCCGGATGAATCACCTAGCGGATGAAATCAGCCTCCAGGAGCCGCGCCACCTCCTCCACCTCCTCCCTGATGAAGGCTTGTCGCTCCGGGGCTTGACGCCGCACTTTTTGCCGGACAGGTCGCGCATCCGGTCGCACGGCGAGGCGGTGCTCAATCACCTCCCTGGGGACCCTGGGCATATCCGACGGCTTCCATGCGAAAACGTCAGAATTCGCCCGCAGGAAGGAGACGAGCGCGCCTTCCTATTTGGCGTCCAAGGTTCCGCCAATCTTAGCGGTTTTGGACGGATCGTCGCCAAGGGGAATCTCCTTGACGGGAACCTCGTCGGCCAAGGTGAGGCGCTTCTTGGGGGCGCGGGACGCGGGGGCCTCCGGGGCCTGCGGCCCCGTGGCCATCGCCAAGTTGTCCGCGCGCTGTTCTGCACAGGCGAGGGCGACTTTGACATCACCAAAGATGGTGATGGGACCGGCAGGACCTGGCATCTTCATCTGGAGGTAGGCGTAATGGGTGGCGGCCATGAACTTCACCAACGCGGGTCTGCCCAGGACCGCGTTGTAGGGCAGATTGAGATCCGCCACATCGAAGTCGATCCGCTCGGTGCAGAAATTGGTGGAGTCGCCGAAGGTTACTGGGAGCTCGACGTGACCAAGCGGCCACGTGTGTCCCAGAGTAACGCCAATGATTGGCAGCGACGGTTGGAGCTTCATCCCCGGGGCCTTGAGCGCGTCAAAGGCAGCCGGGGAGATGATGTTCAGACTGGCCCCACCGTCCACCAGCACACGCTTCATCTTGACGTTGTGGATAGTCGGGGAGACCACCAGGGCCAACTTCCCTCCCCGAGCGAGTACCGTCGGATGGTCGCTCTGGTCGAAGGTGAGCTTTACCTCCGACTAGCGCGCCTTCCGGATCGCCTCGTGGGTGGGAACAGCGGCCAGAAGTTCCCGCCTCATGGCCTTGAACCCTCGACGAGAAATGCGAGCGCAAGCCCCCCCATCGAATGTGGCGACGGTCCCTTGGGGTATCTGGAAATCCAGATCCTCACTACCTCCGCCATCGTCAGCAGGGGCCTTGTTCTTGGCCTCCTCTCGCTGGTCACTGGTTGAGGTCACGGGAGCCTTGCCCTCCCGTCGACCCTGCCGCTTTTCCTCATCGGCCTTTCGGAACCGCTCGGCCAAGTTCTTGACCGAGCGGCAGTCGGCGAGACTGTGGCGGTAAGTGTTGTGCACCGAACACCACTTGTCCGCCGACCGGCCTTCGCCGGAGGGGGCGGTGGAGCTCGGCTTATCGCCGGTAATCTTTCCTTTGCGCGGGGCCCGCGTGGGCCCGTCTGCCGCAAGGACATGGCCCTCGTCGTCGGAACGGGCCGGTTTCCTCTTGCCTCTCCTATCTCGCCGCTT